CCACTGTCAAGTTTAAATTTGACAACTTTACTGTTAATTCCTACGTTTTCAAACCAATCAGCAGAAGTTTGAGTATGATTCACACATTCAATAGTGAAATTCTCAAGGTGTAGGTTATTTTCATCTAGGTTTTCACTAGGTTGAGTCTCATTTAGTTCATCAAAATTTACTTCATTCACTTTTTTGAAGGACTTTGTAGGCCTATTTTGGCTTTTGATTTGATTATTAGTTGGTTTTGACTTAGATTGACAGTAATTTGCAAAATGGTTCTTATGCTTACAAGAAAAACATTCAATACCATACGCGGGACATTGATTCACTAAATGATTTCTACCACAATTTCTACAACTATTAATGAATTTCTTATGATTAAGCCTAAACTTAGACTGGCTATTTGACTGATGAGCGCTGGGTGTCACTTTAGGCTTGGCGAATTTGCTTGAGGCGCTAACTTGGGCAATTTGGGCTCCTTCTATTTCTTTAATTTGAATTGACGACAGTTCAGCAGCTTTGCATATGGCAACAGCTTTGTTTAGGGTGAGGTCCGATTCCCGTAAAAGTCTTTCCTTCATATGCTGATTTTCGAGGCCACATATCATTACATCACGCACTAGGTCTTCGCGAAGTTCTTTGAATTCACAGTTTAAGCTTTTATTAACCAAATCTGTGAAGAACGAGTCAAAACTTTCACCGGGATTTTGCTTTCTGGTGAGGAATTTGTGTCTTTCTACAGTCAAGTTCTTCTTTGGGGAAAAGTAGGCCTGGAACTTATCTACCACAGTGTTGTAGTTGGTTAATGAATTAGAGTCTAGATTAAAGGAATTGAAAATTTCGAAACACTTTGCACCTAAATTATGCAAAAGGATTGCAATTTTCCGTTCATCTTCCTCCTTATCAAGGTTTGAGGCAGTTAGGAATATCTTGAAACGTTGATACCAAAACGTCCAATTCTGGGCTAGGTTTCCTTCTAAACTTATGGGGCCTATATTTGAATCGATACTGGCATTTGTATTTGGGCTAGATGATGAGGAAGCCATTTTACTACGGTAATTTGACAGTTCTTACTGAAATTTATTCTTCAATGAAGATTATCCACACTGAGTAATAGGTTATGCTAGGTACTTACGGCAATTCTCGCGTAACCTAACCTAAAACTAATCCACTTTAATCTGCTGACTAGCACTGAATTTACTGTTCACACAAGTGAAAACTAACACATAACCTGACACCATGTTTATGGGTCATATTAATTAATTAAAACAAGTGTGTAATTAGTAACACAAGTTTATTAATAAAACCACATTGTAGTCACAACAGATACACAGGGTCACATGTTGAGGAGTTGACGGAAGAGTGTCTGTAGTTGGAATGAAACTAGAGGGTGGAACGGAAGGGGAATGGAGATACATAGAGGAATGGAAACATAGAATATATAATTATACAATACTGTATCAACAATTGGCACCTTTACAACTGTCAGAAGGGGTGCATCCCACATATGCCCAAAATCATATCTACGACGTTGAAACCGCTGTTCAAGAAAGAATGCTAAACAAAGCTAATGGCTCTTGCAGCACTGTACTCATGCACATTTTGATTCAAAATTTGGTTTATATTAATCCATACGCGCAAGTTTTCAGCTCCGTCCTGCAAACTACTACTACTGAACAGCAAAAAGAACTTAGAATGCATATAGCCAACGATTGAGGTCAAGACCAACGTCGATACAACGACGTTGCTATAATAATATCCTAATTTATTATTCGTGCGAATTCGCACGGGTTCACCTAGTTATGTATTAATCAAAAGCGAATTCAAAACTACTTGATTTTATTACTGTGAGAATTAACAATTTTTCATTTAGGTTGTCAGACTTCAAAAATATGAGAATATAGTAAGTTAGCCTACTGAAGACAAAATTTCTTACACCTACTTGTGCTTAATTAAAAATTTTATAAAAATCTTACTGACAACTCTTTTTTTATAACTTACTATATATCCTCATATTTTTTTAGTCTGACAACCTGACATAAGCAGAACATCAGCAAACTTAATATTATTTCAACCCCATCCACTATTTTAACCACTCTCTTAGATACAGGAAGCATTAAAATCAAGCTAATATGTCGCTAAATGGTACATCGCGAAGATAAAAACCAAGTCTCTTTCAGAAGAGAGCCGCCACAATTTTAGTTTCCCTATCCCTACACGATTAAATTGTTTGAGTTTTGTGATTATTTCTGTTCAGTCAATAAAAGATGTATGAGTCAAGCTATAAACTAAACTAACCTAACCCAAACTATGGGTTTTTCACAGCTTCAACAGTGGCAGCCTTTTTGAAAAAGACCCTAATTTGTTTGAATATTTAAAAATTTGAAGTTTGTTTACATAAAAAAAATTAAGTTTGTTCTAAAGATGTTGCTTACTAAAAGATTTTTAAACAACACAAAATAATAATCATTGGAAAATTCGTCAAAATACCACGCTTATAAAAACTCATTAATGATCACAGAATAAAACATGAGTGGCACATGATTACAAAGATAATCGATACAGCACTCATTATGAAATTAGACGCTGAAACAGACTTGTTTTTAATGAGCTTGCTTGAGGCAACATTCCTTTATAAGGTGAGGTAAGGGTTTATTGCAAACATTACTTTGACCTAAATCTCCAACTGTTAGCATACTGATACATCTACAGCATTGCAATTGTTCTAGACACTAATAAATACTGTATGTTACCGAGGTGTCGGAATGATACAAGAAATTGTTTTTAACTCTAGGCTATACATAAAATAGATGTCAAACAGGTCCACCATATTGATTTAACTTACAAAAAGGGTTTGCCCTGGTACATCCCTTTTCCAACCGTTACAGTAGTGCTACTTAACCAATTTTTACAAATGGAGTGTCTAACTCGTCTAGCTTAAATGATCTGGCGGAATGAAGAGTGGTATGCTAACTAAAATATTTGTTTTGTTTAGGGCTTCGCTCCCCTAGAGTGATTTTTTGAAGAGATTGCTTAAAAGATTCAGTGATGACGACCAACATTCTTTTTTAACGGTTTAAATGTGAATTTTAATTTAATACTCAGTTGAATATTTATCCACAGTCTGATTGTACACAAGAGACAAAAGGTTGTATAAAAATGAGTTTTAAATAGGCTAAGGTACTTTTTTCATAATTGTCCCAACCTGATTTCGAGGTAAATAAAACAATCTTTATTGTTTGGATCAAAAAGCAACAGATTAAATTTACTGTAGTTATTAGTGAGTTTGATTCACCTAATTAACTGCCTCAAACATAATTTTTTTTGTAAAAGGCTTTTACAACTCTTTACCAAAGAAAGTACTGGAGAACAACCCAGAAGGAAGAAGACCCCTTGGTGGACCGAAACTGAGATGGTGGGACCAAGTAGAAATGACATGAGAAAACTGGGAAGAAAGAAGGAGGACGCAAGACACAGAGGTGTATGGAGGCAGTGTGTGGGGAAGCCAGTAGCATTTCGGGTACCAGTGGCCACAGCAGTAAGTAAAAGGCTATCGCATTGTTCGTTTTGCCTCAAAATCGAACCCTATTACAATTTGCTCACGGTCCACCTTGACTGCAAGTACTTAAAAGTTAAGCTAATACTTTTTTGGAAAGAGGACACAAAACCAAGTAAGCTAATTTGCTTATCAAACAAAAATACTGTTAGTCTACCTTGAGGTAGGCTTCAACTAAATTTAGAGATATCTTAATTGGATTTAACACTAATGGAAGGCTTCTAGCTTTAACCTACTACTAGGATATGGTAACTTATACAAAGAAAGTGAAAATATGTTTAAACAAAATGTTATTTGTGTTTTAAAGGAATGAAATGGTCAATTACTAATATTGTGTGATATAGTCCCTGTGAAGCATTGTGTATTGTGATAATCCTACATTTTGTAGTCTTGACTCGCCTTTCACTGGTACCACATCAAGCAATATTAGTACTTGACTGGGTTGTTTTGGGTTTAAAATGTTGTTTGTATGGTCTTTGAGTTCCGGTGTTATAATTGTTTATTCTGTGTTTTGTCTGACAATCATAACAATTTTGACTTTGAGGGATAAGGAAATGGATAAAGAGGCCTGATGATATTGATACAAAAAAGCTAGGGCTTATACTTAACTTAGTCTTTTAACTAGCCTACCTGATAAATTATTGTTTCACATTCAGCACAGGTAGGCTAACTTACATTAATTAAACCTCAATTTAACAACACGACTAGGCTAATTTTGATATTAATCTGATAGGCTAAGCTAATCATGTAAAATTTTAATGACAGGTAGGTAGGAATTTTTATTTTTTTTCTCTTGATAGGCCTATTAAATCTTTGCAATTGTTTTTATATGCAACTCTAACTTAACCTAACTTTAATTTAGGCTTTTGAAACTCATCCCTTTCTAAAACCTCCCCTAACTTATCGTTATGAGTTGATTTAGAAGTCGTTCCAGTGACAGGAAAATCGTAGATAAGTGTATCGTATGTAATTTTAAGTAGGCCTAATTAAGCTACCGGTATCTATTCAATATCGTATCCATATTGTGTAAGCTGAATCATAAGCAGTCCTAATTCAATCTACAAACAGTTAATATTATATGTTGACAAAAAAATTAATTAGGCCTAAAAAATTTAGGAAGTAACAGAAACATCAAGTTTTCTTAACCTGCTGTAAACTTAACTTTATTTTTTATGACAGGTTCCTAAGAGGTTGAAGTTTTGCCAAATTAAAGATTATAGACCCCACCATGGATTTAGCTGAAATCACAATGATAACAAGACTGTTCCAAAATTATCGAAATTATCGTTTGCCAGATTTAGGCCTAGGTATAACTTATCTTGTGCAGTAGCATAGGGTACCATCAGCCATAACTTAGTTAAGCTTGTGATTCTAAATTTAAATACAGTGCATTCAAGATACAAGACTGTAAATTAGATGTATTAAAATTTAAAAAAGTAAAATTTTACGGTACCTTTCTTACGAGATCCTTTACAAAAGGTAAATAATTAATTATCAGTCTTAGATCTCAGGGATCTAGAAAATGGATCAGCTGCTGATGAACATAACCTTTATGTCTACTTTATTGATGTCCCTTAAATGCATCATAATCACTCCCGCGAATAACATACGAACTAATGTGAAAATATACACTAAAATTAGATAACCACGCACTAAAACACTGTTTTAATAACACTGCTTTACCGAAACAATTACCGACATTTGGCAAAAGTTTGTTGCCCCGATATCCGAGTTCAGTTCGTCCGCAACGACAGTTGCTGCGACTACAGCACTGCCTGTCGGCAATTAAGGTAAACATAAAAGTTTCCTTTGTTCATGCAGCTCTTCTCTTCTATAGAGTGCAGCACTAAACGACTAATGGACCGATCGACGAACCAAAAGCACAGTGCCTAAGCAACTTCATGGTACGGTAGGTGACAAAAGCACATTTTCTGACGTCATCAAAGCGTTGTAATACATATATAAGAAAATATAAAATATGTGTTTTAAGTCAATTTTCCTATGGTTGTTGTCAAATCATGTTTTCGATATAATACTGCATGAACATTATTTAGTTATTGTTATGTTGAAATTTAATTACTGTATCACATTTCAGCCATTGACTTTGGATACTAAAGTGCAAACATAAATGCAAGAAATCTTTTCTCATCCTAAATTGTATGCTTGTTTTGATGTGCGTTTCATTTCCGGCCCAACGATGTAAAGTTGGCCCGGCCACGCTTCAACGAGTTGATGTCACCCAGATATTTCCAGGGTAAATTTTAGTTAACACTAACATATAAAACCAGAGTAGTATGGTAAACGTATCAGATGTGAAGTGATGTTTTACAAATGGCTCGTTCTTCATTTTGTAGTAATAGCATAGATTTTTAGCTAATTTCCCTATAGGGAAGTAGCTATTGCCGTAAGTGGCACGTTAAAACCTGGACACGGGACGGATATACTTTTTCATTTTTGTGTCTCTGGAGGCCAAAATTTTTCCCAGTTTTTATGAAATTTGGCTTGAAGATGTAAGGCGGGATAAACCAAAATGAGATTGCGAACCAGCATGATCGGACCATGGGAACAGGGCTTTATGGGGGGGGGGGGGGGGGTTTATGGGGTAAAAATTGGCTTTTCTCATTTTTGCCCTTAAAACACAAAATTTCCCAATTGCTCTTCAAACCATTTAAAGATCTTAAAAAATAGTTTAGTATACAGAATTGCTTTGGGCGGTTACGTAGAAAATCCAAAAAATTGTAAATTTAAAATTGTTATTTTTATGGAGAATAAGTTAACTGTTGTGGTTTGTTTATTTCTAGATATATGTTGATCAAACCTGGCAAATTTCTTTATTTTATATTAAAATGTAAATATTTTGCTAAAAACACACTTTATTGCCCCCCCCCCCTGCAGCAAACCTAGTTATTAGTAAAACCTAATGCTAATTAAATCAGGCAAATGGAAATTCACTTAGGCTGCAGGTTTGCTGCGACGGGGTATTTTGTCTTAGAACGCTAGGTACGAGCCCGGAATTGTTTTTCACATTATTTCAGACTAGACTTGTCTAGACAGGGGTTGGCCGGTTGCGACATTATCACTATGATAAAATACATTGGTGATTAGGCGGGATTTTAACCCGGAACCGAAGTCCCGTGCTCTACCAATAGACCAGCTCGCTCCCCAATAGCATAGATTAAAGAGTAGACAAGGTAAAAGCATAGATAAAACATAGTCCCTTAGTAGATTTTCCATCCTTGTGGAACAGCTGAAGCCAATTGTTTCGTTAGTTATGTCCGGTGCACTGTAGAGGTCGTGTTTTATTAACAATTTATTTCTTGTTATTTCAGTCATTTAAACCAAATAAAACGATATAATCATAAACAATAACTCATTCTCTAGTTATATCCGAAAAGTGAAGCACAAGTCATGAAATCAACTCTGAAATAATAGAAACAAAATCGTGTTGACACTAGCCAACGGTGTCACCGGACATGGTAGGCCTAATAGTTAGTAAAATTAGTAATTCTAATCCTCAATGGATAAAAATAATAAGTCTACGCACTCAAGCGGTACTGGAAATAATTAATATGGCTTAAATTGTCTGATCCATGTCTGAACCATGAGATAGTGCTTCATCGGACAGCACAGAGTTATATAGATAACGCAGAAAAAGTAGTAGCACAACTCCTACAGAGATGCTGCAAGCAATATCTTTTCCTGCAACACAAGTAAGTTGTGAGATTGCCGAGCCACATTTGAAGGAAGAACTAAATCCCAGAGTAAGTCACGTCATAATATTTTTAATAAAACAAATGTTACAAATTTATCATGAATTTATGAATTATAATTTATTATGAAAGTTCAAAGGTAGAAGATTTGTGTTTGGGATATGTTAAGGCAGTCTTTGTGACTGGTGTCATAATTGTGGTTGTCTGAAGTAACAGAAAATATAGAGATGTCTTGTTTCATAAAAATTAGCAAATTATAGATGTACAGGCTAGGAAAAATTAAGAATGTTATTGATTTTAAATATATCTTCACATAATTCTCTAGCTTTGAGAGAATAAATTATTCTAATGATTCGTTTTTGCAATTTAAATACCTTTTTCTTTTTGTCAGAATTGTCATATTCCAAATTCTTTGTTCTTAAAAGTTCATGAGAGTTTAAGAATGGTGGCAAAAAACAATCTACTACTAGTAAGTATACCCTTCTGTAATGAAACCTTTTGACATATTCTATTTGAAAACAAAAAATTGGCTTAAAAATTGGTATTAAAAAATTATTTTTTTGATCACTATAAATTAGGGGGATGGCTAAGTCCAGTGGTTAGAGCGTGGGACTTTTGTCCTGGAGCCAAAGGGTTCAAATCCCCCCAATCACCAATCGTTTTTTCTAGCATCCGTAACCAACTACTGTAATACTTTAAGAAATACTTCCTATCCTAACTAGAGAACAAACAAGGATAAATGTATTAGTGGCGACCTTCCTTTACTAAAAGCCTTAGGTAATAGTAATTATGATTACATCTAACATAAATAAATAAAATACCTATTTAGCAAGTCACTTTAGGATTTAGCTTTTAATAATGATCTTAAAACAATCAGTTGTCTTCCCACTGTTTGTTGTACCAACTTCCAACACCAATGCGAAATATACTATTTTGTGCGTGGACTGTACCACTGATTTTGGAATTAAATTGATTATACCTTCTGCATATCATAATTTATTCTTGTTTCAGTCATCAGTTAAAGAAGTAATCTGGCAGATGGCCAACAATTAATTAAATGGACCTCTCGACGCAGGGAACGCATACGAAATATTTCAATCCCGAATGATTAACGACTCTAAACAGCACACTGTTGAGATAATCAGATTCTTAGCAGGATACAACGACAATTTTAATTTACAAAATATATAATTAATTTTCATGTGTATTCTGTTGTATCACGCACACTATTCAGATTCCTTTGAACCATAGAAAACGTCGAAAGGATTGTCGATAGCAAAAAAAGAACTAACGCCGGATTGTTTTAATCAGTTTCCTAGCTTGGTTGTTGTTTTCGTAACTTTATGATTCCAAGGATTTCAGTGTCTATAAAACCACATTGTTATCAAAGATGTAAACACGAAGAAAGTTGCATTGAAAAACATATTAAAATTTCATCATAACCTATTTGTGGCACTCTATTTGTCAATGAGACATAACTTAAACTATTGCGACTTAATATATATATATATATAAAACTAATAAATAAATATAGTTTATACCATTTTAAAAAGTGACATCATTGTATTGTCCAACTCGGACAAAGCAAAAATGTTTACAACATATTCCATGGAAATTTTTTCAACTGAGATAGTGCAATTCAGTCGTCAAATCAAAACTTGTTTACTCAGAAAACGCCAAATTAACTAGAACAGAGATTCGATTTTATTTAGTCACCTCAATTACGGGGGGGAAATATCAACAAATCGTTATACTTGTGAAAAATAAGGGTTTAAACATCTTCTTATGATTTCGTGGAGTTTATCGATGGGAAGGAGGTATTTCTCAAGATTTTTAGATGGGAAGTAGGGATTTTCTTCGCAGACTGGGACGGCGTGCCGGGTACAAGGGTCGCCAGAGCCTATATAAGCTCCTGGTCAGCTGATCAGCTTGTAGTATTCAAGATGCGAGCGTTGTTGGTGCTACTATTGGCGGCAGTGGCTGCTGCCCAGGTCCCCCAGGGACATGCTGCCAAAGTCGTCTGCTACTGGGACGGCAAGTCGTTTTGGAGGGAAGGTAAACAGCTGTTTATTGACATTACAATTAATAAGGTATTCAGCGGAATAGCTATCTGTCTTGAACGGTTTTGTAAAACGTTTTAATGTTATGTGAGGGTTATAAGTATCTAAATTTTGTTTTTCATGGACGTTTAAATACGTCGTACAGTGGCCATAAAGAGTTTTCTTTACCAAAAGCCTATGATGGTAGTACATCCTAATCAATTGCTTAGTAGTCTTGCTATTTTTGTCGACGTACAGTATTTAAAGGAAGAGTTTTAAAATATTTATTGAGTTTTAAATGTTTGAAAATAATTTTAATCATTTAATTTCATAATTTAAAATTATTTTTAAAATATTTTAAAAATTTATTGAGTTTTGAAATAGATATATATTTATTTAAAGCTATAACGATATTTATTGTTTAACCAATTCGTGTAATACCCAAAAAGGGACTTAGGGCAAAAAAAATCAATATATTTGAACGGGAAGAAGAGCCATGTAAATCTAGGTCTAAACGTTTGCAACTATTTAACTTACTTCGTCTAAATTATTTTTAGAGTTTTTTTTTAAATTACACTATTACATACATTTTAACGTGAGATACTGTATACACTTTACCCTTGGGAGTTTTATTCGAATTCTCTTCCAGTCGGTTTGAAACATCAATTGCGCAAGCCTCGAAAAATAATTTAAGCAGCAAAACAGGAAAGTTCAACCTCTGATAACTTGTGGATGTGGATCAGCAACAACTCGCCTCTTGTTAGTAAACTGTGACTTTCGTTTCTCGGAGAAGATTAGCGTAATTGGATTTAAATTGGAGGAAAATCTAATTAATCAGTAATCAACGAAAAGTTTATCAAGTTGTAAAAAACTTGTATCCTCTTTTTTTCTTAGAGGTTCTCCCAATAAAACTTAATGAAAGCCAAGTTTGTAGTTTTCATAGAATAAATCATTCAAATTGTTGTAAACCGCAAACATTTAAAGGTATAGGCCTAGA